TTATTCATAAGTTGGAAAAGTTGATCAGTAAAATTAATGACCACAAAATGTCTGTTGTCTTTATATATATATATATATATATATATATATATATAGAGAGAGAGAGAGAGAGAGAGAGAGAGAGATAGGAAGCACACAGTGAAGTAATGGATTGTGGTTTGGATTAAGGAATCGAATTCCAGTCGATTCATTACATTCACTTATGTGCTAATACACTTGGGAAAAGTAGGAATCCATATCTTTCCCCCCACGCTATGGATAAATAGTAGAACAGAATGAATTCCACAGCCTTGGGTGGCAACCATTCTAGAAGTACAATTCTAAATTCAAAATCTACAGAGGGTCGTTTGGACCTAGTTGCATACTGTACATAAGTTCCTGTATTCAGCTCTTCCAAAAAGTGGGGTTGGTTCTGCACAAACAACACAGTAATCAAATGATATATGCCTGTAGTCTGGCTATTGGTTTTAAGAACTGAGCTGCTTAACCTTCCTACATTGAAAATGACAGGAGAGTCCAGTAGTGTGTATGTATATATAATTATATATAATATCTTGTTTTATAACCCTTCACGCAGAACTTTTCACTGCCAATTCAAGAAAGACATTTGGGTTACTAACATACAAAAAAGAGAATATCTCATATCAAGAATATATTTAACATTGAAAAACATAAGAAAAAAAAAATTAATTATTTTTAATATGTGGAAATCTCCACACTTTGCCTGATGAAGGTTGCAAAACCGCAAATTCCTGTAGAAAAATTATGAAAAATAAGGCATATTTTTTAAAAAAAATCCACATTACAACCAAAAATGTTTGCAGTTTCTCTCTTCTTTTTAATATACACACTTTTCTCTCATTGGAACTACTATAACCTCTTCCCTTTTTATATATATATATATATATATATTATTAAATATGACAGAAAATGAATGTCTACTATGTCTGATCATGGGCTGTTCTAATGTTTGAATGTTTGTTTTAATTTCTGGTCAAAATAATGACAAAATAATGATACTAATAAATCAGTTTTAATATTTTATATTACTAGGATCCAGTTGGATTATATACCAACGGATTTATTACCTTTACTTTATATATATATATATATATATATATATATATATATATATATATAGTGCTGCTTTTTATTGGAAGAATTTATTTAAGATGGAATGATCTATTATGACATATCTCTAATTTATATTTAATTACATTGAATTTATTTTTAGTTTTTCTAGTTGAATTGTTCACCTGTATTGCATATGATCCATTATTGTACACAATTAGGTTACAATAAAATTGGTATTTTATAGGAATACTACCTTATGAAAAACTGAGATTTAGCAGAGTAGGAAGCATGGTCGAGTAGTGGATAGTGGCTCGGATTAAGGAATCGGAGAGCCGAGTTCGAATTCCACTTGAATCCATTACATTCACTTATATGCTAATACCCTTGGGAAAGGTATGAATCCTCTTCTTCTCCCCTGATTTATTTATTAACACAAACAAAACCATTTATTATAATTTATAATAAAAAGGAGGCACTGTGGAGTAATGGATAGCCGTTCGGATTGAGGAATCAGAGAGCCGAGTTCGAATTCCAGTCGAATCCATTATATTCACTTATGTGCTAATACCCTTGGGAAAGGTATGAATCCTCTTCATCTCCCCCCCAGCTATAGGTAAATAGCAGAAAAGACCAGGTTCTATAGCCCAGGATGGCAACTGGTCTACCACAGACAGAAATGGCAACCTACTGTGGAAAAAAATAGAAAGATACATGATCACCTAAGTGTGTATCACACATGACACAAAACTGACTGAGTAGAGTGGGGCATATCTATGATTTGGCATCGGGGGATTGTCATGAGACCCTTGCACCAGCCCCTGATGTTAGAAGAGTAGATTAAAATGTAAAGGCAATTTCTATACAACACATTTATTTATATTGATGACGATCAAAGGCACATAAATTTTCAACATAATACTGATGAGCTACTGGTATCATTTAATGAGTTATTTCACCATTTCAAAAGAAGTTCTTCAGTTGCTCATGAAGTCACATCAGCACTGCCTGCTTGCTTGGGCACCCAATACACACACAAATTATTTTTCATCTGACAACCCTTTTCTCATATAGCAAAATGTTGCAAGTCTCTCATTTTTGTATTGCTAATTTCCATGGAAAGTGCTCAGATGAATTATATTCCTTAATTCCACTAGTTCTAACATTCAAGTTTAAGATACAACATTCTATGCACATTGTAGCAAACCATCGTCATTCTCTTTGTATTTTGCTGGTGCAATGTAAGTTCTCCTCAAACAGTTTCTTCTCATGAAGAACCAACTTGTAGAACTGACTCCCAAGAGGATGCTTTCCTGATCATTTACAATCTTAACCTCTTCAAGTCTAGGGTTAACTGTTAACTTTCCCACACATCTCAATAAACTGTGCCTCTTACTCTGTAACCCTCTACCTGTTTTGTGTAACTGACTCCCAAGAGGATACTTTCCTGATCACTACAATTTTAACCTGTTAAAGTTTAGGTTTAACCATTATCTTCCCCACCTATCTGCATAAACTGTGCCTCTTACTCTGTACAGGGTGAACATCAGTCTTAAAAATCAAAAAACTTTATCGTACCATAAGTTATCATACACTATGTATTGTGCAAATCCTAGCTAGTGCCTACATTTGCTGCCACTTGTGCTAATGAGATTCATTGGTCTTCCCTGATTAAGGCAATCAACCCTCTGGATATGTTCTTCCATGCATGATGTTGATGGGTGACCAGATCAGCTTTTGTCTGTTACACTTATTCTGTTTTAAAGCATTTTACCCACTTATACATCTTTTGTTGATTCATGGTACGTGCTCCATATGTAGTGATATCAGTATCAGCAGATATCTTGTTAAATGAAAACATCTGAGGGATGTTACAGAAATTTTTTCAGACAGTTATTATGATGATGATTATCAGTTAAGTGAAGTGGACCTCATAAAAACCATGTCAAATGATCCTGACAAAGAAGGTCGCAGAGTGAAGCCACACCTTGAGTTCTTGATAAATCACTTTTTTAGACAAAGATGACAAAACAAATAACACTGTTCTCAAAAAGAGAGTGATCACTAGTGCCGAAAACAGAGAGAGACTTAGAAAGAGGCAAGAAATTACATTGCTGTGATGCAAAAGGAAGACACCTGTTAGACTATTTACCTCTCTTCACCTCACTTCATCTCTGATTCAGTCGTCTACAGCAGAGCCAAATAAAATTTTATTTCTGCTACAATTGGCTTTTGTGGGTAATGGTCTGGCTAGATAGTTATTTTTTTTAAGCCACAAGCATTTGACTGAAGAAGCTGCACCCTGAGAATGAACTTGGTGTCTCATCAGAGCTACAACACGACACATACTGCACCAACATTCGGTATTGGATTTCTCCAGGTTTGACTCCTGCCCACAGAAATGCACTAGGGCACGTTGTTCATTGATAGTGCAATCGTTGAGAGGAGTGTCCATACGTCTGACCTCATTGTTTTTTGTTACTCAACAGTATAATGGAATGTATATGCTATTTTTACAAAATATCAAAAGTATTGCTGGAGCTACACAATCCTCAGTTTCCAGCCTTGGAGGCAATGAATTATTTTCAACCCTACAGGCTTTTTCCCCCACATCAAAAAATCACATGTGAAGGTTTTTTTTTTTCTTCTGCCGGAACACAAACAAGGAGGGACGTAATGAAAAGCAGCACCGGAGACCAATGAAACCAGAGATATATCCACAGCAGAAGCAATGCGGAATTCTATACAGGAATTGCACAAAACATAACTGCGGAAACATACAAACGGTAATTCAGAATCATGTCGTTCTGTATGCTAATAATGCTGACAACTTACAGACTGATGAAACAGAAAATCTGTCTGTTTATATTGAGCCTAGAAACATTGGTAATCTCACTATGCACGACACAAATCATTTGCATAGAACAATTCTAGTCACCACTGCCGCGACCATATTTTTTGCAAGTTGATGTTCTCAGGTTTGAGCCAGCCATCCTCTTCTACATATGCAGCATACCAATCATTGTCTTTTTAATCACAGAGACTAGGCAGTTTTTGTTGTTGGTTTCTATGTGTATATATATATATATATAATAAAAAGGCTTAAACACTAATATTCCATGTGTATATGTCACCACGAAATGTATCTTTAATGTATTAGACATTCGACAACATTCATGTTTCTCTCACTTAAACCTCTTCCACTCACCTCTCTAAAACTTCTCTCTGTTAAGGTTTAATCTCCCACCTTCTCTCATCTGTTACCCCTCTCTTTAGCTCTAATATTTGTCCCACACTCTCATACTTACACTCTCTCTAAATTCTATTTTTATTTCCGGAGTTGTTTTTTCTGTTTTCTTTTTAAATGTGTATGTATTTACTCAATCTATTCATATCTATCTATCTATATATATCTCAATCTATTCATTATCTATCTATCTATCTATCTATCTATCTATCTATCTATCCCAGTCACACTCATCTCCCCCTTCTCATTAGCCATGTTTGATGTCAAGTTAAAACAAAGATACAAGCCATAACATTTTGTCTAAAAAGTTATAGTGTTGCAACCAATGTTGGACAGGTTGGTTATAGGTTATTTAATGCCAAAATCTAAATATTTTGTACACAATTTTATTTTACTTTTTGGGGAAATGGTTTTAGTGATATTAATTAATGAATTAATTAACCTATAGCTGGAGAGAGATG